GTGTGGGGGGGGGGGAGGAGAGGAAACATTCTTCATAGTGTGTTACTGCACGTGCACAAAACTCACTACCTTGTACCAAGATGAAGGCATTGTGAGATAAAATCTGAAATTCACAAATTATGTAAATAAATGTTACATGTTATGTTATGAATTACGTCCTCAGTGACTAATATGGGCTATTAGACACTCATTGACATGTATTATCGTTCAGATCTTCCTTGTTACACAATGATGGACCACATATGTATTTAAGATCAATTAAAATGTGCATCTATAGAGGTCTGCATAGGCAGAAATTTTAGAATTTCACCTGGCCTGGCGGAAGAACCATTTGGCCCAACCCGGCCTCAGACCAAAGGTTATCTTCAAATGTGTTATGCACATCCCATATAAAGCCGACTTCCTTCTGTTCCAGCCCAAATAAAGCCCAATCTATTTACAATCTGCCCTGACTCTCCTATCATTAATACACATTACTTTTAATGCATAAATGCTAGTAATCCTTGAACAAATTAATTAATAGTGCTCTAAGAACACCTCAGGTTATTCTGGCATTTCAGAACAGTACAAAGATATCAGATGCCAAATTTGTAAGGCATTATCTCAAACTATTTCTGGGAGGGGGCAGCTACAGAAATCCCTGAAAAAAAATCAAGTCAGTAAGATTTGTTTCTAGAGCTTGACTGGGGAGTCACAAGCCTAAGATGAATGCAACTTAAAATATTTTTTTTGCATAAAAAAACAGACAGAAGAAGAAGAAGAAGAAGTAGAAGAAAGGCCAAAATGTTCTATATAACATTTGACTGCAATCATTTGAACCTGGCCTGAACCCAAACAATATCTGTGCTACCAGGCCCAGGCCCAGGCCCATGCAGACCTCTAGTGAAGGGAAAGGAACCCTGATACCCACTGGAAAAGTGGCTGGGTGAGCTCCAGAGCCGGTCTGGACGCAGAAAAATCCCTTGCTCCTGCTGGGGATCAAATCCTGGTTATACAGCAGCATAGTCATATACTATACAGACTGAGCTCACAGTTTACACCATTAATGTATATGAATACAAGTTTTAAGCATTCATTTTAGTTTGTCACTTCTGTTTCATCTGTCTATCAGAAACTGATTGCTGTGAGCACAGCTCCAACCCGGCCTCAGACCGATCAGAAACTGATTGCTGTGAGCACAGCAGCATTTCAAATAGATCGCCCTTCACATGCAATTACACACCAAGATTTCCCTGATATTATTAATTTTATATAAAAGTATTTACAAAACGAAATACTATCTTAATTAGACAAAAAGCTTTCAAATGAAGCTATAAAAATCTTGTGTTATTAATATATTCAGGTAAATAAATTAACGTAATGCAAGTTAGCTAAGAGGTTAGTGCATAGGCCTTGTGCACAGTCTCATCACTGAATCCTGGTTGAGCCCAAATATTTTCACTTCTTGCAACTTGAAATGTGTTACATACCGACTTCTCTCAACCTAAAAAGATGATGATCTGACCACTGGAAATCTATTATAAATAACTCTCAACTTACTTTTCTCCATGTCATAAAGATAAATAAAGCAGTCATCATCTACATATGTAGGTGCAGCGATGAACTCCTTCTTAGTGACTGGTACTGGGGGGAGCCAGTCGGACTGTGCAAGAGACAGAGGCTGCTCCTCTTGCTCGTCTCCAGTCCCGTCCTCAGCATCGCTGAAGCTGTCGTCACAGCTGACACATGGAGGCACTTCATCGTTCTGCCCGCAATCCATCTGGAGCAAAGAAAATTCAATTAAAAAGAATAATTAAAGAAGCGCCATAAAAAGAAAATTGCGTTGCTGCAGATGACAATGATCTTAAATTAAACAGAAATGAAAGTGGCATCTGTTGACCAAAAACTGTCGATGTTTAACAACGAATTTCCTGCAAAAACATAAGAATGAAATCATTCAGAAATGTTTCAAACACATATCATAGAACTAGTTTGTTCCCAATTTTACTCAGGCCACTTTCTAGCAATAGAAAGCATATTTACTGCTGTTCTGGGCAAACGTTTCATGAAAATTTTCATCAAGGAAGAAAGGCAATACTCTTTTTCCACCAGTGAGCAGTAAGTCATTACCAGATCATACAAGCATTTGAGAGAGTTCTTATAGTTGAAATGCAGTTTCTATCACAGAAAATTTTCCTTTAAGTAGCAGGTGACATTTGTACCCATTACATTTCTCCTGTTCCTGAAGATAAAATTTCATCACTATGCCAGTAATGAACCATTATTACACAGAATGCCTCATACTTTCTGTCACTTGTTGAATTTGTACCTTTATCACATTATTATTGCATTGTTTTACTTAATTGAGATAACTCCAAGACTTTACAGTAGACACACAGATGCTACTGACAAGTTTTAAGATTTATGTCATCATGTACCTTAACAGACGGCTGTAACGAGTGTGCAACAATTTTCTCATTTGCTCTTTGGCTTTGTTCATCCAGTTCTTTAAGTACGTGTAATGAAGGAATGCTTTCAACTTCAGATTCTCTGAAATGTAAAATAAAATCATGTTAAAAGTGTAATGACTAAAGAGCAACAACACACTCACCATATTTATGTAAATCCAATATTGTACCAGATGGGCCACCAAACACCATCACACAGGCGAGTCATAGTCTGAACTCATCACCTGATTAATGGGCTTAAAGCATGGTGAACCACAAAGGTTATTCACAAAAGCCAATGCAACAAACATTTAACCTTACCTTCTGATAGGAATGGCAAGGCCCTGTTCTGCTAATTTCTTATTTAGCGTGAGCCATTCCTCCTGAGTTGGTTCTAAGGGTCCGCCTTGCTTCACCCATTTTACCCACAGATCCACAGGCAGTGAAAAATTTTCTATGTCACCCTGTAACATTTCACTACATTCAAATGAAGAAAACATGCATTACATTGTCTTATTTATATATACAGAATAAATATTTAATCATGCTGCAAGAGACTTTGGAAATATAACACATCTGCTGGTCGATAGCTCTGCCAACAACATAATAAAACATAATTATGCCACTGGACATAATGGTAGGATTGAGCGTACATTAAACATAAATACGAGAAGGCAACAAAACCAGTGTGAATATCAGCTATGGCGCACACAACAACATAACCAGGCTCTGTTGGAATTACAGCAAGAAGCAAATACTGTGTGAAGAAGTTCTTGGATATGCTGGAGAAAATGAATCAGACAAAACTGACATTTTATTAAAATGTATACCAAATGAAGTGCGTGAACACTGTGGTGTGTTGGCATGTAAAGCTGAAAAATAATAATAATAATAATCCATGGCGTAACAGCCCTCTGAGAGCCAAATCCGACTAGCTGGCTGCTGGCCTCACGTTCACATGCCTCAGCAGAGGTGAACGATCATCCAACCAGATATAGGATGACGTGTGGTCAGCCATTGCCAGTTTTCATGACCGGATTACGCTACCCACTGTAGCTCCCCAATTTCCTCAGGATGCTGGGTTGGCACCGGTCCCATACATGATAAATTTCTTTCCCCGAGACTCGAACCAGTGCGCATTCCGTATCACCGGTCCGAAGCATGATGCCTCAGACAGCGCGGCTACTGTTCAAAAGTATTGATCCCTTCTCTATCCTTAAATCCCCATCAAAAGTACTGATCCCTTCTCTATCCTTAAATCCCCACAATTAGAGAAGGAAAAGGGGAACAAGGTGAGGGTGGGATGAATGCGAGTCAATGGCACTGGCAGCGAATGACGTGAGGAGCAGTGTCACAGCCTCTAGCGCCATATAAAATTGCAGCAGGCCTGGTTGTTTGCTAATGTCCACAGTCTGTCAGAAGAATGATTTAACTGTGATATTCCTGTCACAGGTGCAGTTGTAGTTTACAGAGTTGTCCCCTCAATGGAGGAGTAAACAAAACTCTCTTCCAACAACGCAAATGTTGCTCTGCTCAAGCTGGTGGCTGAACCAGTGACTAATGCCAAGACAGAGCACGTACCAGTGACATTGGCTGGTTGTTCTCCGTCCTTTAAAACAAGTCATGACGGAGACGTTCAAAAACATCTGTTGTTTCATCATGTATTGTCATTTTCCTATTCAATGTGAGTATTTCTTAAACATTTTGCTTTGATTTTCTTAAGTTAAAGTGTTCAATCCTGATTATAGCATAGAAATGAAGTGCTCAGACCTGAACACAAAGCCTGAAATAAAGGTCTGCGTGTAGTGGCTGGCCTGTCAAAGACAGAGAGAGAAAAAAATTGGTAGAGAAATGTATACTAGAGCCAACTTGTTGGTAACTGCATTAAAGACAGGGTAAAACAATTATATAAAATAAATATTTCAAAATCAGTGAAGTATACAATTCACATACCTTTTTAGTGATGTAGATGTTTGAATATTTGGCAATTTGTTCAGCAAGGAATTCACATGCCAGACACGGCCATTCTCTTTTGTCTCCCGCAGCATATATTCCCGCTAAGTGACATTTAATTGCACCATCGCGTATGCCCAAAAATTGTGGCTCAAGAAGCTGCAAATTTACCAGTGGAACTACTTCTACCTCAGCAAAATCCTTTAAGAACACCTGCAGAAAAACGAAAAACGTCACTATGAATTAATTTCCTAGAGTTCCATTTTAATAATATCCTCTCACTGAAGTCTTTCCTCACAAGTAGCTTCTTTCCAAAAGGGTTTCCAATTCTGTATGTACTACTCTTACTGTCCTAGAACTCTATATGCCAGACTGAATCTAACCTAACCTCACTTAATCACTTTAGCAAAACCATTTGAAAAGTACAAACCACTGAGCTACTTGGTAGGAGATTACATCCATTCTGTGTCAGGTCATCATTCTTAGGTCTAAATATTATATCTTCTCCTTCTTCTTTCAGGATGCATAAAAAACTAGGTTCAAAACTTTAATTTACTAATTTTAATTAACAGTGTTTTGGAAATGCTATGGAAAAGGAATGTTTGTGAACAGAATAACAAAATGCTCTTCCAGGTTATATTCTGGCTTATAAAACATTTATCATATGAGAATAGGGGATGTGAACTCAGATACTATGGGGCTGTCAGGAAACTTAATTTTGGGGTTAACAGTTTAGTGGTATGCTAGTGCAGTGCACCGACAGTTGGACAGCATGTAAGATGTAGCACATGGTCGATACAAGATAAACAGTATTTTTAATTGTTACGGTCCCTCCAAAGTACTTGACTTAAACCATGCCTTCACTTCCATTAATAATATCAAGTACAGTCCTTATTAAAAAACTGATTCACTGCTTTTATTTGTGCTAATGTCTCATTCCCATTTTCAAAATACACAATAAACTGCAATTTTTTTACCATATATTGATGTGACGCAGCAAGAGAGAGATTACAGTTCCAACAAGATCACACACTTCAAATTGATATGAAAGTCACTAACCTTAGCTTGCTCATTTGGAAGCAGCTCCACAATAATAGCCCTGTACCACTGCTTGTACCGTGCACTAAAGGCGGAACATTTGTTGTTCACTTCCCACTTATCCACATGAGAGCGGCAAGTTTCATAGTACTCCTGAAGCTCGCACATTAAGCTGGAAAACAAATAAATGCCACTTTTGTTCTTTAGGAGTAGAAAATACCCACAGAAAATTAAAATACTCAACAACGAGCTGGTGGTTCAAGTGCAACAGGAAACAGACCTTTCAACTTATGTCCACTTACTTCTTTATTTGTTCTTCCTGACTAGCAAGTGTCACGTAGATACAACTGGGTGAAAGGCAGCTCAAGACTTTCACTTCCAAGCGAAATGGGTCCTCCACTGTTTCAGACTTATCTGCTCCATTTTGTTCAGATACGCTCACATCTCTAGCACCACCATCCACATGCTGAGCCTTCACATTTGCAATTGGTTTATTTTTGGTGAATTTTGGTTGCATTTGCTGTAGATATTAAGACAGAATGCCATATTTTTACATAATACTCATGAACACATTCACCTCAGGAATGGTACAAATTCTTCAGCCAAAGTTCAGCATCAGACACGAATGAAAAGATTTTCACTTATGTTTGATGTCTAGTTAATGAAATACACTGTAAAGTAAGTGACAAGAGGTAGAGTCCACCGGCCAGGAGAAAATCCCTTGGGGGGGGGGGGGGGGGGGGGGTTCTGGTGTGGTGCAGGGGGAATGTTTACTATCAGGTGGACTAGAGGGCTGCTATTGGTGGGAAGTATGACATGCCAGAGCGTTATACTACTACACACAGACTGAAAACATCAAGCAGTTAAGAGTAGCGTGTAGTGAGCGCACCTGTAATGTGTTCTGTGGGTGTTGCGATAATATTCTAGATTAAATCGCTGTGCCTCTGTGAGGTAATCTTAAAGCCGTACTCATCAGAACACATGAAAAATTGTCGTCTGTTGTTCGTTCAGTGGTTGTGGAACGAATGCTTTTAGGATGGGTCGTCACTCATCGCAAAATCTTGCGCATGTGCGTATATCGAATTCCTAGCAAGGATTTTCTGGTGGTCGGAGGACAGTACATGGCATTGACGATCAAAGGAGGTTAGACAAAGTTTCTGACAGCCGTACTTAATCGGACATATTAGTGATTTTCTTGAAATCAGTGAATTTTACACAAATTTTATGTAATATGTTCCAATATGATTCATATAAAGGATCATTTAGGACCTTTAAATGAATGTGTATGAAACTTATACACAGTAATAGTCGTATACAGTGTCATATGTTAAGTGCTACAAAAATTTATCAAACCTATAGTTTGCGACCTATTCCACAAAAAGACATACACAACCTGTACTTACCTTAGAGTTACAAGGTAATGGAGGAAGTGTCAGACCATCAAGTTTATGGTACTCCACCAAACTGGAACTGTGAAAGGTGACACAACATTACTATCTGTTGAAAATTATTAATAAATGTACAGCCTTTTATTTCTGCCATCACAATCTTCGTTGCAATGCTGAAAATGTGAATGCCATCATCACCATCATCAGCTTAAAGGTTCAGACCAACTTTATATTCCCTTCTACATTAACATCTGCCTGAATAATCATTTGCCCTTTGCTTTTTAAATACTCGCAACACAAAATTTAAAGTAAACTACACAGAACAAGTGAATAGTACAACTAAAAAGAATTTATAAGATTACAATTATTTATGAGTTGGGAGAACAATTTTTGAAGCTGGTGATTTTAGGGGCTGTCTTTAAATTCAAGGTAATTCCAATATAAATTCTTTTTTTTTATATCTTTATGATGAGAACTTACCTTACTCCTACACTGGTAGCAAAACCATCTCTAACCAGAAGAGCATTGACGCACAAATCGACATCAGACAGTGATTCATACAGTGTCACTTTCAGCTGGTGTCGCTGCACCTCATCTACATACAAGCGAAGAACCTTTTTGGCTGTCACCTTTATTATGTGCTCCCTTACACCAGGCACCCAGTGCTCCTGATTTGGTACAACATCACTCAGAGAGCAGTGAACAGCCTACAGAATATAATACCTTTGTTAAATGGATATGGAAAACTTTGTACAGTGCATGAAGCATTCTTCAAATCTGCTTAGGAAAGCAAAATGAAAACTCTGCAATTTGCAACATAAACAATAACTGAATTCCATGACTTCACAAACTATGTTGTGCTAAAAGTGTCCAAAAAGGGATATTTACCTGTGCGGCTATACGCAGGAATCTCGTGTGTAGTTTTCGAATCTGGTTCCAAGGCACGACTTCCTGATTGCCGTAGTCTACATAAAACACTTCTAACATCTTGTTGCCTGGAAGATCTATGATCTTGGCCCGATACCAATTCTTATCTACACTGTATTGAGCTGCACATGTCATGCCTGGAAAAGAGACACCAAGTTAAACTCTTGTAGCAATCAAAGTGTGTGGGACTCTGGTTCTATTCGACTATGTCAAAAAAAGTCACAACAAGGATTAAAGATTCAAACAAAACAACAAATTCTACACAGGGAAAGAAAGATCCAAGAATGCCAAACAGATCAGGAGACAGGTACGTTACTGCAGCGAGGCTGGTGGATGAAAGAAGAACATTTATCAATAAATGGTACACATATTCCTATACTGTTAAAAATTACTTTTATGTCATTCAGACAGTAAGGGCTACGGACAAACTTAAAGAGAACCTGAAAGAACACAGAACTCAAAAAAGAAGTAACATTCCAACCAGTCAATATAACCATGGGTACAAATTAAAAATGCAGATCTTTGGACCAAAAGACTCTAATCATTTTGTACAATTACAATTCTTTGATCATAATAAGTGAATTTTATCAATAATTTTGTTGCACTGACAGTATATACAATGTGAAACAATAGCAAACCTTCCAGCATAAAAAAATGCTGGCATCTCGTCACTGTATTTTATACTATCTTCTTCGTCCTAAAATTTAAACGTATCGTGTGACCGCCAAGCCTCTCCATCTGTCTGTCTTCCCATCGCACCTGCTCCTAAATTCTTACAAAGTTTCCCTTCTCTCTGGATGACATCTTTCCTAACCTCTTGTTCCCATCTTGATTTTGGTCTCCCCCCAGGGCATTTCCCTTTCACTTTCAAGTTCAAAACCATATTTTGAATTCTCTCTTTACTCATTCCTAACGTGTGCTGATACCATCTCATTCTGTCAATCTGTTAGTTTGCCTTCCAAAGAGTTTCATTTTAGAACCCATTTTCTTTAAATATTTCAGTTTTTTCTTCTACACTTACTAAAAATCTCATCTCTGCTGCTGTTAACCTACCAACATCTGCCTTGGTCCACATCCAACTTTCTGCAGCACACATTAATATGGACACGCAGTAAATTTTAAGCTTCTCTCAAACCAATGTTTTACAGAAGTGGTAGCAGCAATACCTACACGGAATCCTGCACTCAGCGTCCATGACTGCATTTAGCTTTGTGTAACTTCGTACACTGTATCACACCACGTGCTCCCACATAACGTGTCGGTTTGAGAGAGCCATTAAACAAGCACGCTTTCCCCTGCTTGGGCACTTCCCATTTGTAGAGTATGCCCCTTATATGTTAAAACTTTCCTGCATTTCTTATATTCCTTGTAATTTCTTATGTAACACTTCCATCTGTCATCACCCTGCTTTCTAAATACTCAAAACACTACTCTACTTTTATGCCATGACTGTCACATTTTATCCATCCCAGCCCCTGCAACTGAAGCTCATTTTCATGACCACACAGTTATCTAAACTCAACTCAAAATCTTCACACTCTATCGACCATTTGACATTTATTCTCTAACGTGCTTTCATTCAGTTCCAATATAACCATGTTGTTGGCAAAAATAATAATTTTTTGGTACTCCACTCTCTTCTACTTCCGGTAGTATCACCTCATACTTAGCCCACATGAATTTGGACTGCCTGATGGACTAATCACCCACAACACACAGTGCAAGTCTGAGACTGAATACTATCTCAAGATTAAAGGATACTAAAGTCAGATTTATCAAACAACACAAAACATCTAAAATGAGCCCAAGATACCATGGGATAACAAGGAAAACCTGTGTGAGATTTAAGGTTCTCACAGTGCAGATAATGACATTCTTGTTCTGGGTCACAACCCAAATGAACAACGCTACCATAACAAAAGTGAACCGATACAGTTTGCTTTTTCTGCATATTTGGAAACAATTACATGGCAAGTGCTTAACAACTATTACAAAAACCTCAAAACTCACAAAGGGCACTTAATATACTGATCAGGACTTACCGACATAAGGGGTATATACAAGTCCTTTGTTTCCAGCCTTTGCATACTCTCTGTTCATATCCTTCATTACAGATGTCAGGTATTGAGCGTGTTCTCCAAGCTGGAAAACAAGCAAACATTTCACAAAATAAGCTCTGTCATACATCAGCGCAAGTTAAAAGCTTTTATGACACTCTTCACTTCTGGGCCAAAAAGAAAAAGAACTCGCACGTAATTTATGTTATGAGCTACTTTACATAGAGCCAGATGTTCAGTAGCTGTGAGGTGGGTCTGAGGGTTCAATTCAAGGCAGAGATAAGGATTTCCTTGTCAGCCATGGTCTTCTGGGTTGTGACGCTGTGTGGAGGCTCAGTTTCAAGTTCAGGCTTCTTACTTTGCCCCTCAGTCCACTGCTGCACCTTGCACCCTCTCACACGTACCAAACCAAATTCTTAAACATGACATGCATCAGGTATGTTTACGTAAAATTGTATTTAAAAAAAGTAAGGTATTTGAATAGACACAACTTACCCTTTGTACATAGAAATTGTGAGGTGATTCAACATGGCTCACAACAACATCCATAACTTCTCCCATTTTAAAATGGTCTTTCTGGAAGTAATTACTAGTTCTCTGAGCTAGGGTGACCTGAATTGAACAAAGAAATGAGCTGTTAGTAGCTTCACAGAAACAAATGGTACAAAGCTAGTTACTACGCTGTCAGAGCACTGAACTAGTATCAAAGCAGAGTAATTATGAAATTTTCTCATGGACGAAAAGATAACACGTAGAATTTAACTCAGCAGGTGGAAGGAAACATGTGTCTGATGTGATGTGAGCTGCAAACTGAGACAGCTTTATAAATATCAATACACCCACACTGCAGTAACTTCACTTAATTTTTAAAGTTCTCATTTTCCTTATTTATGTAAACCATGGGAAAATACAACTTTTATTTAGAAATAACACTGAAGTAGCAAATTTTCAATACAAGTTAGTGACAAAATCCTTACAAAATTTTTTGTAAGTCTTAACTACGACTGTCTCTCTTTCATCTTCTGTTTCTTGTGACAGTTTCATTACTACTGTACGCAAGGGTTTAGAAAGCCCCTGTGATGTAGGCAGCCTGGTAGGCAAGTGGTGTTGTGCGCGCGTGTAACCCGCACATTTCTGGCTGGAGAACATTGGTCTTCAGTGCAAATAAATTTGTAACAAGTCTTCGCTCCTTTCCGCTGCTCCATGGTATCATTATTAATTTATTGGTTTTATTATAAAATTTATAGGAGACTAAATTCTTATGCCAATTTTATTCGACAAATGTGCATTATCAGCGTTCATATGCCCAAGTGCAACTATTTGTGTCTCTGAGTATAGCAGAACGACATCCTTCTTGTCATATTGTCAGGAAAATTATCTCCAATTATGCAAATAAGCTGATAAGCCCTTCTAGCTCAGTGCCTTAAAATCACTGAAAATAAAATTGCACACCAAATGATGCCAAGTATATTACCGTTTGCTTCGTTTCGGCTTTGAAGTGAGCGTACTCTAGGAATACCAGGGCATCTCGAACTGAGACAGGAACATCGCTATCCTGGGCATCTCCAGGGACCTGACACAGGTCAACCTGGTATGTGTTAGCACTGTGCTCCATTACAACCATTTTTACACGGTGACTGGAAACAGAACACAAAGCTGATGCAAATAAACAATAATATTATACTACATTCTCAGGAAGGACTTTCCTCCGTGAACTCAGTCACTTCATGTCCAAGCCCCTGAAACTTCCCGGTACACAGTTTCTGAGATCTTGCCCACTCTCTATACAAATAGATTTCCTTACCACTTTTTGAGAAACCCCCACCACTACACAAACATGCACGCACGCACACGTCTTCAACACTCCTGTAACAGCATAAATCACCGCGCTTACCCATTCACCATCACTGCAAATGTTCTAACAGCTTCCTGTGACCACTTGTCATTTGACGGAGCCAAATCAAACAGTGAGCAATGGAGAGCCATTGCTGGTGTATGAGCAAATCTTGGTGGAATGCAGCGAAGCCTGTATGAAAAGAATACACGTAATTATAAATTTTCTAGCATGAACTTACCATTTTATCACCCTCCTTTTCAAATTTTAAAACTTTGCATACAGTGCAGTGTATCAGAATATCAAATAAGCAAACAAACAAACTATTAACACTATAAGTGACACTAGTGCCAAACGCATTTTGCCCTCAAGAGGTCATCATCAGTGGCAAAAGGGAATTAATTCATAATCAAAAATAGTTTTAAAAAACAAATCATTAACTCAACTTCGTTCTATGGAAAACAATAAACATTCCATATATTTGTAAAGACAAATATACCACCGTGCAGGTAGTGCCTGAGTAAAGTCTGGAAAGCAGGGCCATACCCCAGACCTTAATGTATTCAAGGTCAAGCTGAGTCTGGAACACTGGGAAATACCACACACGTATATTAATTTATATACATACGACATGGATCTGAGGACACGGAAAACCACAGTCTCCTCTCAAGCACACCGGGCGACCGCATGATGCAAAAATGTACAGACCAACAGACACTACAGAACTGACAACTATTCCAAAGTCTCACACAAGATATTTACAGTGAGGTAATAATAAGAACAAGCTTCGGATTTCTACTCACCCTGAAGAAGCCATTTCTATATTTTACCATCAAAACTGACTCATTTCTCTTCTTTGCCATGAATCCCTACAGAAATTGAAGTATTCCAAGCTTTCTTCCAGTAAATAACATCCACCACATTAACTAGAGTATGTGATGAGCACCATCCTTGCAAAGCGCTGCTGTGTTACTGGAAGACTCAAGTCCACAGCAAAAGTGGCTCAGATACCCAACTAACCGTATTTTGAAGATATCCGTCTTCTGGGTTATTGCGCTGTGTAGTCTGGTCGATGTTAACCAACGATGCCCTGATGACGGAGGCAGTATGACCTCTGAAACGTTGGTTAACATCGACCAAACTACACAGCGCAACAACCCAGAAGATGGATATCTTCATACTCACCGCTGTGAGAACCTCAAGTCTTACAACCGTATTTTTACTTTCCCGGAAGCCACGCTGGATTGGATTTTAACACCAATTTACAATCCTCATGGTAACCAAAGCAAAGTGTGGATGATCATTCAAAGAAAAATAACGAAGTAGCACTTTCCACACTGTTCTAAGAAAATTCTATTCTACTGAAAATCAAATATTGGGTATCTCCTGAGAACTGTCTTGTGGCCCCCCAAGAACCTTATATATTGAAATACACTGTCATTTGCTGTTAATAAAATGAAATGAAAATCTACATAAACCCCTGCCAAACTGCTACATTGTTTTCATCAAACTGAGAGGGATGGGGTAACAGTGAACACTCCAGATTCCTAACTTTGTATTCAGGCAGTACCTAATTTGATTCTTTCCTGGACTACAGGCTACGTATTCTGCCAGAATTTTATGGTTTCTCACAGTTAATAGATAAATCCTGGAACAGTATAGAGAAACAAGCCATTATCACCTCCTTTCAAATCCTTACTCAGCAATCAGAACTGCACACCTGTTTCACATGACACCATATAGCATCTACAGGTAACAGTCGAATTAAATTAAACCAAGAAACAACTGATCCAGATTTCAGCAAAATATTAATAAAAGTTACATGAGTGTGTATCACTCACTTTGTGCAAGGAACGACTTCAGTGTTCCCATAGTCAATGTAGAGAATCTCCAGCAAATCGTCCGTTGTGTTCTCAGGCGATGAAGGCCGTTTATCTTGAACACGTGCTCGATACCACTTTCCATCAACCTGATACTGCACTATATACAGACCATCTGTAACATAAACCAAACCACCATTACCACAACAAGGCAATGAAAATGAAATTGAAAGAAATGCAACTTAAACACAAGAGGATAATATTAAAATAGATAACAGAAAATTGGAATATCAATGAGTACATCTGGCTTAGGATAGGGACCACAGCATGAGCAAAGAAATGGACATTTCAGTTCCATAAAAGGCAACAATTAGCTTCTCAAAGACTTTTCTTCGTGGAGTTAAATACTCAGACAAAATAATTACTGGGAGACAAAGACAATGTCTGGATTTATAAGAGAGACAGAAACGTATATCAGTCTGGTGACAACGTCATGAAATCTAAGGGACTTTCTGAACTCTCCCGTTAAGTCCCAGCATTTTGTTATCCGCAGTTTGTAAATCACTGCACCAAACTAATATAGGTTTTTTTTTATTTACTTTTAAGCACAGACTCTGGAGGTGTGTTGAAAGTGTGCGCATGTTTGCTGAGCTGTTTACAAAGATTCGCAAGTGTGGCAGCATCTCCTGCACGATGAACATAAAAACTCGATGGGTCACGTAAATGACACACCGTCACAATGTCTGAGCTGCCTGTAAAAAGAGGGAAGGTACAGCATACAATTTGCTCAAGTAATTCTTTATGCCTGTTAAGAATACACATATTTCCCACTTAGCATGCACCCGTCTAGAAAATTTGAACTCGAGAGGATATAGAAATATCTCCTTCTAAACACCAAAATCAAATTTAACGCATCAATTATATTAAAAACTGCTTCAGTAGTGATTGATTTCACGGCTGAAGATGGAGAAAGCATGTTTGTCTGCAAGTCTACATGGCTCCACAACCCGGAAGACCAACATTGAAATATATTCACAGTTGCGAGAACTCAAATCTGACATTCCGACGGCATAAATCCCGGAGGTTACGTCACAATCACAGTTTATAATTCTTCATTTTTACCTTTGATAATATTTCCTGAAAATCTTGCATCTGTACTCGAAATACTGCTTGCGGTATGGCACTTTTGGTCGGGATCAGCCTGTTCTACGTATGACGTGGCTTCAGAAGTGCAGGAACTAACTGACATAGCTGCGTCTACATTATGTAAAGGTGTACACATAAAAAAGTAAACAGAACAACAAAGACAATAATGGGGAACAACTTCTAAACTTCACAAGATGAATGCACTGTATAAACAGCATAACGCAAAAGAAAGTGAACCTACCGTTTTCAGAGTCCTCATAAACTGGCTCTACGACAAAATCTTCTGGCAAGTCTTTGCTTTTTACGATGCAATACGAAGTATCGACATTTATCTCCAACTGACAGTGGTTATCTATCTCAGCCAAGAATGATTCATCCACAGTGAATCTGAAATGTTCAAGTACAGAGAAAATTGATAAAATGAATGCCGAATTGGCACAAACCCCATCACTTCCTACCTAAATGCTTTAACATATGGATATTAACTTTCTAAGAACCTGATGATTAAAATATACAAAAACAATATTTCTGCCTGTTGTTTTGTATGGGTAAGAAACATGGTCTCTCACTGTGAGGGAGGAACGCAGATTGCAGGTGTTTGAGGAGGATATTTGGGCCTAGGAGAGAAGACGATGAGGCATGGAGAAAACTGCATAATGACGAGCTTAACAACCTTAAAACTTAAATCATCCAGTTATCAGCAAAGAATATGCAAAACACATAAATTCACCTGACTGAAATATCAGCGCTGGTTCCGTCAGTAGTCACAAGATGACTGGGAAGCTGCTGGACAGCCAAAAGTCTCTCGGTAATTTCCAACACTTCGACTTTGTCTAAATTTGACGGATCTCTAGCAGCAGCCGCTTCTTGTAGTACCTCACGTACATGTTTTATGTTCGAGTCTAGTTCGTCCACTAATAACTCCAATCTGTTTGAGTTTTCAGTCTTGGCTCGCATCAGCCTGTCCATCAGCTTCTGTTCCAACAGCTGCAGCGAACCATGAAGGTACATGAAGTGTCGTGTCACCAATTGTTCCACTGGCGTTAACTTCTTGTTTGCTGTAGGTACTAATAAAACGTCCCCCAGTTTCTGAAAGGAAGAAGAAAGTTCTGAAGTTTAAAACACTTAAAACTCGTAGTTCATAAGCGTGGAATGGCAAGCATCCTTTCCTGCTAGAGATGGTCACGGTAACTCAGGCGGATAGTACCACTGTCATTACGGCGATGAAACATCTAACACTGGGTAAAATAAGTGTTATTTATTACTGTCTTTAACTTCGTGGCAGTGATTACAAAACTCAGGATGCATTTAAATTCTCTTCACAGTTAACCTGAAGTAGGATCCCCGCTAACCAACAGCTGAACTTTCTCCAAACCTTCCAGAATCAAAGGAAAATATTTGTGTGTTCAATTTAATGTGCTGATATGAGTCGTGACGTTCACAACAGCCTGCCAGTGGTCACTATCCTGAGCCAACCAAATTTCCTTAAGATATTATACTCCCATCTATGACTACGTCTTCCGAGTGATCTCTTCCCTTCAGGATTTCGAACAAAAATTTTGTTCGTACTTCTCATCTCCCCTGTGCACCCAATATCTGGTGGAAAGTATAAATTACAAAGCAGCTGAAGACAGTGGGTGGCAAAATGAACAACACTGACAAGAACGAGAAGGAAGTGGCGGGTTTTACATTTCTGACCAGTGTTTGGCAAAGCTCAGAGGGGTCGGTTTAGTTCAATGCCATTCGTCGTCAATGGCGAAACTGCCGCGGGTGAACTTCGAATGGAGATGGTAAGATTTGCAGTTCTTGGACCTTTTGAAACTCTATTTACCTTCAGATAGGTTTCCAGTACTTAGTGACCATACACCCCTCTTCGGATGCAAATATGTTTGAGTCCTTGGAGAACGGATCCGATCGGAAAGGTGCCTTCGTTGACGTCGTAAAGATACAGTTCCAAACTTTTCTCACAGCTGTTCCTGCGTCCTTGAGCTCCGTCAGGAAGGCACAGGTCATGGCCGCACGCCTTCGGATCGGCCACACTGGCTTCAGTCCCGTGCCTACGTCATGACGAAGACAGTGGGGGAGGGGGCGACGCTACAGGGCGGCCAACGTGCTGACATCCCCGTATTTTACAGGACTCGTCAATTTGCTTTAGATTCTAATCAATGCCATTAATTCCACTGAGGCGCTGACATCAAAACGTCACCCAGGCCTCAGGAAGAGTGAAGCTGCCCCGAGGGGCTTTTCCACCCATGGATCTCGGCCATTTCCGGAGATTGCACTCCTTGGGGGCACCCCCCTCCCCCCAGGCAATGCTCTCCACGCCTGATACAATTCCGCAGAAAAAAATACGGTCAATTTACAATTCGACGAGGCGCTACAGCTCAGAAGGCCAACATCGACATTTCCACGGCCCTGACAACCTCAAACCGGTACTTGATATTCGCGTTTCTCTCCATTCTACAGTCACGTTCCGTTATAATTATGCGCTAGTAATTTTTGGTTTCTGTATCCTCCAGCAAATTTGGAGGCCAAAAGGAGTACGGGGGAGGGGGGGGACACTGATCTACAGGGATTCCTTCCTAGCATCGCTGTCCTAACAAACCGGAGAAGGCAATTCGCTTCGATCTTCTGCCAGAGGCTGCGTACGTTAAACCGGGGAATCCACAGTGACCTGTCGCCAGATTGCACGCTTCAAGGTTGTTCGCTGCCCACTCAGGAACGTCCCAACATAAAATCAGAGTTCTACACTACACAGTCAGAAAACAAGGCAAAAACCAAATTCTGGACGCTGTGACATTCTTGAAAACGAAGTTCTCTACTGTTACTTCCGATATTCTGAGAAACTGTGATGACAAACGCTGATTGGCTCTCGTCTTCAGCAAAGGTCACTACTAAAAAGGCATAAGTGCTCCTACTGGACCCACAGAGTCTGCACGTGAAGACTCGAGAACGCGTGAATGCCAAACAGATCGAATGAGCGTTTGTTTGATATCTAACGACGAACATGGCGGAGAAAATGGATCCATTACAGCACAAAATGTTCAAAATGGCGCCCATCCGTGTGACCACGAAACACACAATTTTTCACAAAAGGGCATTCATTAAATGCCCGCACGAAATTTTCAAAAGATTTACTCGAGCCTATAAATAATAAAGGTCAAATTTTATGCAAATTTGATTTAAATATTTGTGCTCCCAGTTTAAAAAAAACTCTTTATAAACTCGGCAGGTGAAAAACATAATTCACAGGTCCGGTCTGCGTCATCGAAGAGACACAGAGAGAGGTAGAGAGAGGGGGGGACAGTTCTTGGCCTGACGACCTCTGCCGTGGCGTTTGGGAAAGGAGGGAACCCGCTCTTCAGGTGTGGAATGACGTCACATCAGCTTGGTTGACCCCAATCCAAGACTCTCTCTGCATGAAGCCGACTGAAGCCAGTCACTGCTATGGCTTGGCGTGCAAGACAACCGACAGCATGAACTCTCTGCCATTCGTGATCCTGTTGGCACAGCTGCTCGCCTGCTCCTGGGGTAAGTGACACTCGAAGTGCGCGTTGGCCGAAACAGCTGAAGAAATTCAATTTCCGCTTATTTTCGGGTATTACGTGATCGCCGGAGGTCACCCGCGCTGTTTCCAGCTTCAAGGAAGTTTTCTAGACAGATTTTTCGCTTCAAGCAGGTTTTAATTTCAATCGCATCTCGCGGGTCCATCCATAATACGTCACGCCAGTGACGGATTTGTAAATTCGACCCCATGGCCTAATTTTGGAATGACGTCGTGAATTTCGACGCTGAAAAGTGTAAAACTGCCCCCCGGGGGGGGGGGCGTTTCTCTCCATTCTACAGTCACGTTCCGTTATAATTATGCGCTAGTAATTTTTGGTTTCTGTATCCTCCAGCAAATTTGGAGGCCAAAAGGAGTACGGGGGAGGGGGGGGACACTGATCTACAGGGATTCCTTCCTAGCATCGCTGTCCTAACAAACCGGAGAAGGCAATTCGCTTCGATCTTCTGCCAGAGGCTGCGTACGTTAAACCGGGGAATCCACAGTGACCTGTCGCCAGATTGCACGCTTCAAGGTTGTTCGCTGCCCACTCAGGAACGTCCCAACATAAAATCAGAGTTCTACACTACACAGTCAGAAAACAAGGCAAAAACCAAATTCTGGACGCTGTGACATTCTTGAAAACGAAGTTCTCTACTGTTACTTCCGATATTCTGAGAAACTGTGATGACAAACGCTGATTGGCTCTCGTCTTCAGCAAAGGTCACTACTAAAAAGGCATAAGTGCTCCTACTGGACCCACAGAGTCTGCACGTGAAGACTCGAGAACGCGTGAATGCCAAACAGATCGAATGAGCGTTTGTTTGATATCTAACGACGAACATGGCGGAGAAAATGGATCCATTACAGCACAAAATGTTCAAAATGGCGCCCATCCGTGTGACCACGAAACACACAATTTTTCACAAAAGGGCATTCATTAAATGCCCGCACGAAATTTTCAAAAGATTTACTCGAGCCTATAAATAATAAAGGTCAAATTTTATGCAAATTTGATTTAAATATTTGTGCTCCCAGTTTAAAAAAAACTCTTTATAAACTCGGCAGGTGAAAAACATAATTCACAGGTCCGGTCTGCGTCATCGAACAGACACAGAGAGAGGGAGAGAGAGGGGGGGACAGTTCTTGGCCTGACGACCTCTGCCGTGGCGTTTGGGAAAGGAGGGAACCCGCTCTTCAGGTGTGGAATGACGTCACATCAGCTTGGTTGACCCCAATCCAAGACTCTCTCTGCATGAAGCCGACTGAAGCCAGTCACTGCTATGGCTTGGCGTGCAAGACAACCGACAGCATGAACTCTCTGCCATTCGTGATCCTGTTGGCACAGCTGCTCGCCTGCTCCTGGGGTAAGTGACACTCGAAGTGCGCGTTGGCCGAAACAGCTGAAGAAATTCAATTTCCGCTTATTTTCGGGTATTACGTGATCGCCGGAGGTCACCCGCGCTGTTTCCAGCTTCAAGGAAGTTTTCTAGACAGATTTTTCGCTTCAAGCAGGTTTTAATTTCAATCGCATCTCGCGGGTCCATCCATAATACGTCACGCCAGTGACGGATTTGTAAATTCGACCCCATGGCCTAATTTTGGAATGACGTCGTGAATTTCGACGCTGAAAAGTGTAAAACTGCCCCCCGGGGGGGGGGTCATAATGGAGACAGAACAGATCAAAGTCTGCACGCGTCTCCTGCTTCTCCGATCAGACACGTGAACCACTCCGCACCACGTCCAAAAGCCAAAACACATTTGGCATACTTCAGATGGGTGTGGCACCTGGTACTCATCCTAAGGGACGGGATGGGCGGAGAATGCAGCAAGCATGGCGGAGATCAAAAGCCCGTAGGGAGTGTCTGACGTGAATCGGAATATAATATTCAAATCGATCTTAGAGACAGAGTCTGACAATGTGTGGGCTGGAATCATATGGTTCAGGACAGGGACAGGTGGAGGGCTCTTGTGGACAACACGGTAATCAACCTGCACGGCCAATAGTTTGCCAAGAAAGACTCCGCTCCGTGGAAGGAGTTCCTGTGCCCGAATCTCCGCGTGGAGAAAGGCCACCCGGTGGTCGTCAGTCTCGGCTGGGAGCAACGCCCAGCACCAGACCAGGACAGCGTCCTCTGACGTCCTCCCCAAAATCACCATTCTTAATCATTCGACGACAATGTCTGTTCCTTCGGACCCTCAGAGTGCACCATGCCGACGGCGACTACTTTTAAACAATGGCGAGAGAACGTGAGAGTGCAGGTGAAATTTGATTTGTACATCAGCTTACTCAACGCATCGCATTACGAAGTCACAACGCGACTAGAAACGACGGCGTACATATTTGATACGGCATTGCCTCATTTCTTTTGAAATAGGAATTCAGTCGGACGTCGAGGCGCTACATATGAAATATTAAACACGCTCGGTCTACCTGAGCAACTCGAAGAGCGCGACAACGCCTCGGGGAGGAACTGTTGTGTTCAAATGGAAAGCTGCCTTGCCTACTTCCGGAACTGGTGACGTCGAGGGGCGACTTCCACAATCGCAAACTTGGAAATGGTCTCATGGCCACTTGGAGAACGCGCGTCGTTACCGGCGAGTGCCAAGATGTTAAAGAGATCTAAGGTTTTCACGGCGGTGAGGCCGAAGGCGGCTGTCCTCTGGGTTGTTCATCGCCCTGATGATGGAGGCAGCAAGAACCTCTGAAGCTTTCGAAAACTTGTACCATACTAAAAGGCGCTATAACCCAGAAGGCAGCGTCTTCGGACTCACCACCGTGAAAACTTCAAACCCTGCCTTTCACTAGGTTTCCACATGAATACTCTGAATTCTTCCTTGTTTCTCCATTTAAGTTACGTGTCTCGACCAGCGCAGAAGCCTCGGCTACTTGGACCCCAACAATACCCGGGGAAAAAAGGGCTCTAGAAACCAGTTTCCCCGCGACGCCCAACCTGAAATCGAGAGGTCGAGGGCCAAATCCTCCGACACTCACTCCCGGGCGCCCTGGGTCCACGGGGCTCTTCACCAGAGGCCGGAAGCTCGCGCTGCAGGATGTCGACATTCAGGGGCTTACGGGAAAATAAAATCCACGCGCAAGAAGGAAATAAGTTTGCCTCTAGACTCATGTGTACCAGCAACCTGCAGCTTACATGGACTCTGAAGAAGGCATTACGTAAGAGGCGCACTGAAGCACTGAAGCGATGCCACGATGACAACGCGAAAACCAACCATCACATGGCGCTCTGACCAGATGGGACGGGTTTTCCACGCTTCACAGACCTCGGACGTAAACATCGGTCGGAAAAAATTACATTGCGTTAAGGACTGTCCTGATTAAAAGAGAATCGACGTTCCTCGAGGTTAGAAAATCGAAGACCTTATCGCAGAAATCAGCAAGACGTGAGGAGGATCTCCGACTCGAAGCGTTGTCCTCACCGAACGACAGCTGAATCAGAAGCGAGCAAGCAGGGCAGGTCCCACGCCCCATCCATTGTCTGCAGACCGGCCCCGACCCACTGCGGGCACGCGACAGCCCACAGTGCCTTGACCTAGCTGACGCATGAAGGCATCGGGGTTCCTGGTGATATTTCAGGGTCTCATGGCGAGTATGAAGATTAGAGTCTTCTAGGATCTCACAGCCCTGATGATGGAGGCAGTTCTCACTTCCGAAACGTCGGTGAACTTCTTTCAGACTACACGGTGCAACATCCCAGAAGACAGTCATCTCGAACCACATTCGCAACACGTAACTGACCGAGCTTCAGCTACGTTATGACCGGGCCTGAGCTGGGTTGGAAATCGCGCAGGGGGTGAAAATGTGCTTCTGATACTTCAAC